AGCCATTGGTTCTTGTGTTGAACACCACGTTTGTTTTTCTCCTTTATACACTGAAGTCTGCAATATAAAAGAAAAAAAAGGAGTGGGAGGAACAGCAATTCTAACACCAGTTCTTGCACGAGAATCCACCATAATAACACTGTGGGGGTTTATGGAGGCAGGGCTGTGAGAGCAATAATATGTGAACAGCACAAGTGCAATGAAGGAAAAACATTGCCACAGAGAGGCTGGTAATTATTGTCTCATGGCTTTGAGAGATGTTATATAGCTGCAAGCAGCATGCCCTGAGCTACAGGGTATATAAGGCACCCAAGAGCTAGCCAGAGGCTGGACAGAACCTGACTAGAAGCCATAAATTCTGGTATGCAATCAAGCTGAGAGTACTGTTTAGCACAGGAATGTAAGGGTGCAGCTGGCAAGGGAGATTCCCAAGGTCAGCAGAGGAGGAGAGGCTGCCACAGCTCTCCTAATTTAGTCCCAGCTTCAGCTCTGGCTGTTTCAGTAGAAAGTCACAACACAGGGAGGAATGCTTGAATAAATAACTCCTAACACCCTGCTTGGTGATCAGCTTAGAACTGAGATTTGATTACACTTGCTAAGATTTGACCTTACATAACCACCTGTTTTCTGAGAGGTCCTGAAATAATCTAGTCCCCTTTTAAATCCAGCTCTGGTGAGTGACTTCTTTAGGACACCTTCACCCGCAGAACACTGACTTCTGCCACAGTACCAAGCGAGGGATGGAGAGCAAAAGCTGCTTTCCTGCATGCTAGGCTCTGGAGTGCAGGGGATGCAGAGAAGACACCCCTGCTCCCACGTGACAGGGACCACCTTCCCTTCACCAACCCCTGTCCTCCTTCACTGAGCTGCTCTGTCCATCCTCAGCCATCCTCAGGCTAGACTCTGAAGGAAACTGGCTCTGTTTTGCCCCTACTCTCTCATCCCCTACAAAATCCTTTTCCTTCCTCTGTCTTCCTGTTTCCCTTGCTTCCTCAGGGGATTGTGAAGTGACATGTGAAGTCTTTGCACACCTTCAGACTTGTGACAGGGGTTATGGGATTAGCACTTTAACAAGCCTGAAAGCTGCTTAGACAAGTATTAAATCTCCAATCTCTCCATCTTTCAAAGAAATCACTTCTTGAGGAGCTGGAGAGATGGAGCACATAGTCATGTCTTCAGGAGTCAGCTCTTCATCCAGCTGAGAGCCCTCAAGTCCAGTGGCTAGGTAGTTTGAAGGGATTCCCATGGGATTTGGGGCTGGAAAACACAGTTTAACCCTTACCAGGGGCTTTGTGTCGGTACCTCAAAGAGCCTTCTCTCTCTTTGCTCTCCATGCTGAATACTGGCTCCCTCACCTGGCATTTTATCTAGCCTCCATCCCTTTCTTCCCTTCCCACCCCAAGGGCTGCACACTCCTTTGCAGCACTTTAGAAGGGGTGAGTAGCACCAGGTAAGAAGAAATTAGAAACCACCTCTCCCAGGCACAACAGGATCAACCTTAGGATGCTGACTTCTAAAGCCAATCCCGGGGCAATTTGTGCCTCTGTTTTATTCAGAGGAGATGAATTTATGCTTCATTGGCCGTATCACCCTGTTTATCCCACTTAACTGAGAGTCAGAGAAGGAAGGCAGTGCTGGGATTACCAGGGTTGGGTGGCACCTGGTGGTGCAGTGACTGCTGCCCCACACGGCAGGGAAAGCTCATGTCTGAGCTCCCTGACCTGTCACCTTGCCCGTTCCCATCCCCTCGTGACTGCTCCAGCGCCGGATTACCTCCCCCATCTCTGCAGGGAAGAGGATCTCTGCATGTAGTGAGGGACACCATCTGGGGACACCATCTAGGGGACACCCACGGCCAAAACTGACACTTACCTTGCTGCACCTGCTGACGTGAATTTGCTGACCTATGAGATTGTCTCCCAGCATGTCACCTGTAGCCTTCCTGGGACTGTAAAAGCTTGAGGAGGAGGCAAAACTCATGACAGTGACAGCATTCAGCAATATTATTCACTAGAGAGAAATCAAGGTTAGTAACTGTGTACTGAGTTTAGTGAAAATGCAAATTAGTAGTTCCAAAACAAATCACTTTACAAGAACAGCATTAAAAAGTATTACTCGGTTGAGCCTCTTAAAATTACAAACATGGGTTCCCTACCTGGACTGAAATTTCTTTTTATTTTTCCCCTCAGAGCTTCCAGCCTGGGAAATTTCAGCTCCAAATAAGACAGTTTTGGAAATTACAAGTAGGCGAAAATAAGAGAGTCTAACAGGTGAAATTTTTCTGGATTAGTCACTTCTAAAGGCCATAAAGTAGTTCTGTTCCTTAAATGCAGCGAGCAACCTGTTCCACACAAGATGGGGATGACACTTAGCAGCACAAAGCTGCAGTGCACCACAACTGCAAAAAGTTCAAATCTAGAAATACTGGATACCTAATGGCAGCAATCCAAATTCAAACAGGAAAAAAATGCTTAAATTTGTTAATCTTACTATTTTTAAAAAAGTCAAGTTTTATTGTTTTCAGTAGGGTGCTACAGACATATATGACTGTTGGGAGTACAGACTGTGTAGTTGAAGGATATGCATTTAAAGTTTTGCATAAACTTTTTGAAATAAACTTAGACACTAGAGGTTGATCACACCTATTATTGTGGTCTACTAATTGTACAATCAGCTGTTATCAGTGGGGTAAAAATAAACAAGACCTCATAAAAATATTTTAAGCGAAAAATATTATTTTCCAGCTAAGAACACATTTGAAATTTTACCATGTTTTTTGCAATAAAGCAGGTACACTTTAGCTGTTGTTCCTGCCTCCTTTTGTCACAGACAAAAGAACTGGCTGGGGTTGGACAGTGTCTGCCAAGAGATGATCTTCATGGCATGGCATCAGTTTGTCAAAGATGAAACACTCAGTGGTAGAGATTTGCTTTCAGTGTTGTCCTGCTCCATTGTGGTTCAAACCTTTCCTTTCTCCCAGCAGAGCAGTGACGTGGTTCCTCAGCAGGATGCTGGATATGCTGACCCAAAGGATCATGCCTGGCTTCTAATTCCCATCTGCTTGGCATGGTGTGATTCCAATGTCTACAGCTCCTTCTCACACTGCTTATGAATAGAAAGAGGAGGCACAGAGCAATTACACGATGTCCCCATGATTACATACTGACTAATTTCTAATTTAGGAGTAAAATCTGTTTGCCCTGCATGCTAGGCAGATGAAGCCATGTAGGTTGAAAGCACATACATATGGTGGCACACAGTTGCACATCCCTATACCTTTATGCATATTTGTGGATAAACTGATCTTAATTTATGCTGACATGTGTTTAGAAATAGCATGTAAATAGCTACACAAAGGCACGTGCAGTCTGGTGTTTAACTAAAAAGAAACCCACAAAAAAGACCAAGCTAATCTCGACTATTCCTCAGCAAGAATTATTGCAATAACACTACTTACAACTGCACTGTACACAGTGGCTAAACCCAAGGAAATTTCAAACCAAGCCATGAGTGAACAGTAACCTCAGCCCACACCTTCCCCCAGCTAAACTGTGTTCAGTTTCTATACTGAAAGCACAGACTTAGCAAAGAAACCAAGAAAAGAAGCTGTTGTACAAGACACATGGGCTTCCTCAAATCTTTCCATAGTTAACACATCCAACTCTTCACAGCTTTCCCAGGCCAGGACTGCTTACATGAACAATATGAGCTGCCATAAAGTGGCACTGTAGTTGAAAGAATTTGCTCTGTTCTTTCCTCATCCCCATCCAACTCAGCCACTGGTGCTGGCAAAAAGATTTAATCACATTTGTTCATTATAAACAAGTATGGAGAAACCTATCTGGGTTGAAAACTCACCAATATATGCTTACACATTTGCTTACGTGTTTTTTCCCTGATACAATTTGAACTCATCTAACTACTGTATTCAAGTCAGGTCCCTTGTGCTGGCCCAAGGGAAGGGTTAGTGTAGCAGTGAAAAAGATGGCAGAGAATAAAATAATTTTTCTTGATGGTGAAACTAATTAATGGAAGCTGGAAATGTTTCTGAGGCTATAGCCCCTGATAAATGGGAATCCATTGTCAGACAGATATATGCTCTGTTTTTCCCTTGAAATTCATGAGGTAAGGATCATTATGCCACTCATAACCTAAATGAAGCAATATCTGGCTGGAAAAATCAATCCCCCTCTTCTGAGATCTGTTAATCCCTGAAGAAGATCCCTTTCCCTCAGTTGTTTACAACCTTTAAAAATTTGTGTACAAAAAACACTTTTAATGGATGTGTGGATCTGGGGCAGTGAATGTAAGCCCACTGGCAATAGATATGCTTTGCTTATTTTGCTGCTGTAAATGCATTAAGGTCAGTCCATCAGTCATTGCAGGCCCAGATTTGTTGTTTGCAAACCAATGATCTAATTTGTTGTGCTCTGAGGACTATGTACATGAAGGATTTATGTGACTGATGAACTAAGTGGGCACTCCAGGAGGGGCAAAGAAAGAGAAAATCTGCTGATATTTCACAAAGTAAGGGGTGTAAAATCTTTTTGATGATTTAAGCAACCCTGGGAAATGAGAGCATTTTCTTCCTGAGGTAGCTGATCTTTGAAACTGCTTGTGTGAGAAGGGCTGGGAGTTGGAAACAATAAGCTGATTAAGTGCAGCAGGTAGCAGGAAAAATGAGGCTCATGAGAACCTCCATTTGCAACACTGCATATCTTCCCACGTACGCAGGAATACACAACCCGATTCTCCGCATATTTTAATCGGTATAAATCAGCGCCACTTTTTGAAATCGACCATAATTACACCAGGAAAACAAACAAAATAAAAGCCTGGGAAGAAAAGCGAAGCTATCACCCCCTCGTTTGCAGGCACAGCAGCCCGAAGCCGCGCACGGCGAGCACTCCTTGTCCCCGGCCGGGCTCAGCTTCGCAGACAAAGCGCCGTGCACCTCTGCGCAAAAAGAGCGCAGCGCGGCGCCGGGCGGGCGCAGACAAAGCGGGGCAGGCGGCGGAGCGCCGCAGCATGCGGGGCGCGCAGGGCTCCTCTGCGGGTGGGCTGCTCTGCTGCCGCCGCCGCTCCTTTTTTTTTTTTTTTTTTTTTTTTCCTTGGGGGGGGGGGTTTTTTTTTTTTTTTTTTTTTTTTTCTCTCTTCACCAACTTCCTTCCTGCTCCAACTGCCAAAGCTCGAGGCTGAGCGCTGACAGCAGAGGAGGACCCCGGCCGCAGGCGCCGCTCCGCCGGTGAGTGCGAGGGGCGGCGGGGGAGCCGGGCAGGGCGGCGGGGCGGCCGCAGCCCCGCATCACTCCCGGATCGCTCCCGGATCGCTCCCGCCGCCGCCGCGCAACTTCGCGCCTTGGCTGCCGGGGGCTGGCGCCGGTGCCCGCTCTTGCCCGGGCAGGCAGAGCCCTGCTGCACCCGAGGGGGAAGTCGGGCTCCCCGCTGGATGGGGCGGAGGGGCAGGGGAAGGAGGGAAGAGGTCCCCGCGGTGCCGGGCTGGCGGCGGGTGTATCCCTGCGGCGTGGTACCCGGGCCGTGGGCTCCCTCCGGTCCCCGCACCCCGGGGCTTGGGATGGGGAGGCCGGGGCTGGGGGCGCTGCTGAGTCCGGTGTGTTTCTCCCCCATCGCGGAAAATTACTTCCTCCCTGCTAAACCCGCTTCCTGGAGATAAGCCCTCGGCCGGGGGTTGGTTTGGAGAAGTGATGAGCAGACGGAGGACAAGTAAAATGCTGCCGCTCTGACACCCCTTTTTGTGCCTCGTGGAGGCACATGGGGGGGCCGAGGAGGTGCCTAGCCTCCACCTTGTCACTGCCCCTCCTGCTGCAGGTGCGAGGGCAGCCGTCTATCCACGGCACAGGCAGAGCCCAGCGGCGAGACTCTCGCACCTCTCGCCAAGGCGTGATTCCTTCTTTGCCTCCTGCAGATCTCCTGTTATCTCTCGCTAACAGGGATCCCTAACCCTGCCCTTGCCCCCTCCCTGCTGTTTCACGGGTGCTGCCAGGCCTCAGGGGTGCAGGTGACACAGGACTGTGGGCTGGTGCTGCAGAAACACAAGAAAAATGTGGCAGGGCAAGACACCAAGCACACAGATTTCTCCTTGCATATAACAATGTAGGGTTAATTTTCTCAGTTTAGTGAGGCTCTTGGTCTGAATGGGGGGCTCCATATCAGCCCTTGGCCTGGGCAGTGGCACAGAAACCCAGGAACCCCGATAGCAACACGGCATCTCTGGGGAAGCAGTGGTGCCTGAGCTCGGCAATGTGTCTCAGCTTGCAGAGGGCACCAGCAAGTAGGGGCAGGAGCTGCTGAGATGGAAGCTTTCCTCTTGGTCACCGCCTGCCTTGGAGTTTGGCAGGAAGGCAGCGTCAGGTCCATGGCTTGGGGAAAAATGCCAGAACTTGGTCTGATTGGTGCCATCCTGGGGCGCCTGTGAGCCAGAGGTTGTTCATCCCAGACAGTCTGGCTGGTCCTGTTCCCTGCAGGATCTTGCTGTTGGCATGGCAGATTGTCTGTTCACCTTTCTGGGAGGCTTTCAGAGCCTAAAAGCATTCCCCCTCAAGTGAGCCACCCCCAGGGGCTGGCAGGGACAGTCTCTGCAGCATGTGTGGTGCAAAGGGAAGGTCTGAGGGATGAGAAGCAGCCAGCTGATCCAGTCCTGACTCTGCCTTTTCTCTGCATGTGGGCAGAGATGCCTCTTTCCATCTCCTGTGTCTGGCCCTCTCCTGTGACAAACTACAAGAGGTGGGCATGGGAGGATGGGGGCGGGCAGGCACCTGTGGTCTGTGCTTGTACTGGTGGCAGATGCAGCGTGGTGTTGTGGCAGAGCTCAGGTCAGCGCTCAGACCTGCAGCTGGAGCCCAAGTGGAAGGCAAGGCTTGGCAGTGGCTGTCATGGCTAACCACAGCCTCCTCCTGTGCTGAGCGTGGAATGGCACTGGGGGTTTGTGGGGCTTTCTAAGGGGACACAGAGTGGTGAGGTATTTTAAGTGCTGCTTTCAGGAGGGAGCTTTTGGTTTCCTTTCTTGTGAGGACACACTCCAGGGTCTTTCCTGTAGTACTTGAGTATTTCACACTCCTGCATCTGGGCATGAACTGAGCCAGGGTTATTCAGCTGCTGGGACCTGTTTTTTTCCCTGTTTGTTTGGGTTGAGATTCTCTTTTATTTCCCATCTGCCCATTCTGTAGTAGTTCCTCATTCACCACAAAATTGCAAAGTTGTCATGCAATGGCCATTTCCTGATTAATTAATTAAAATACCTGACTGAATCTTCTTGTTTTTGTGCTGGTCAGTTCTTTTCTGTCCCTCTGCAACATGCCAATGTACCACTCCTTGATTATTTTTCTTCCCTGCACTGGAATTGCTCTGAGAAGTCTGCATACTACTCAGAGTTGCCTGACGCCACTTGATGATTCACCTTAAACTGTTGTTTTTTCTTTTTTTTTTTTTTTTTGAGTGTGTTTCTTTTCTATTTTAATAAATGAAAAAAATATACCATTATCTCCCAGTTTAACTTTTGGGAGCAGGGGCAAATGTTAAGGCCACAGCTGCAGAGAAGGACAAATGATTTGTTTGGAAAATTGCAAATAAGCAAGCAAAAAGGGACTTTTTAGTAGGGACAGTCTCAAAGAAGCATAAGTGGAAGTGAACTGAATGATCTGTGTAGCTTGACCAAACCCTCTTGCTGCCAAAGAGCAAGGAATGGCTTGGCCATTTGTGACAGCTGCCGCTGTACCAGGGCACTGCTCTGTTTTTCAGCCTTTTTCTGAAGAGTAGGAAGGTGGCTAGGACCATATGGCTGTCTCCTGGAGGCAGGCAGCTGACCAAGGGGCACCTGGCACAGCACTGCTTACCTCTCCTGCCTGTCTCCTGTTCCCCATCCCATGCTCTGGCTGCCCGTTGGTTGCTGTTTCCCTGCTCTGGCTCCCCTTTGGGATGCCACCCCAGCAGTTTCGCCGTCCTTGTGCCATTCAGCGGTGCCAGACCCAGCCCTGCTGACTGCGGCTCAGCTCTCCTGCCTCTCCACTCCGAGAGGCACCACTGGAGCAGCACGGCTTGCCTGCCTGTCCTGGGGTCACCATGTGCTTCCTTCCTCGGTGGGAAGGAGTGCTGGTGGGTGCCTGGAGTGAGCTGTTAGTGGGAGCACAGGGAATGCCAGCAGATAGACTTTGCTGCCCGCTTCCTTGAGAGCTTCAGCTGACTTGCTAAGCTAAGGAAGTGGCTGGCAGGTATTCGAGCTTTCTGTGAAATGTGGCTTTTAACCCATTGTGAGAGGGTGAATGAAACATCTGTCCTTGGCTTTATTCGTGTTTCTCCGTGCTCCAGTGTGTGGCAGTGGCTCTTTGTGCGAGATAGCCTGCAAGCACTGGAGCCTGGTAGGATGGCTTGTAATTGCAGGGTTGCCGGCCACAACTGTGCTGCAGAGTGGCTGTAAATCACTTAAATCACTCTGGTTTCAGCCTCTGCTCCTGCACCTCCTCCCTGCGAGGGAAGAATGGTGTAGGTCTGCGTGTGCGCGTGGTGCCTGCAGGGAGAGAGGAGCGGGGGTAGAGGGGGATTGTGTTTGAGCCAGAATATCAGCAGCAGTGTCTGGATTGCAGCCGATCACCGTCGCCATTTGCCTGTAGGAATCCTGCTGCCCTCGGCACTGGGTGGGTGCCTGCCTGTCAGGGGCGCTGAGCCACACTGTGCCCACAGTGAGTGCCCCCTTACTCCCAATCCACAGCAATCTCACTGACTGCCCCCTCCTCTCACCCAGACCAAGTGACCATGACTGAGAAGACACAAGAACCTCACGTGGAGGATGATGATGATGAGCTGGATGGGAAACTCAATTACAAACCTCCTCCCCAGAAAACACTGCAGGAGCTTCAAGAGTTGGACAAGGATGATGAAAGCCTCGCTAAGTACAAGAAGTCCCTGCTGGGAGATGGACCTGTGGTAGTAGGTAGGCTGGGCACACTGATGGGAGGGGACTGGGGAGATGTACTGCAACAGTGTGCTGTTGCTTCAAAGAAGAGGGACTTTGTTTGGCCAGGGACACGTACTGCTTGTGCTGGAGGACTGGGGATGGGCAGGTGGAAAGTTGCACCTAAAGGAAGCACGGAAGGTGTTCTGAGTGTTAGGAGTTAGGAAGATTACTGGGGACTGCTGGCATCCCACCACTTGTGGTCTCAGAGGAGTTTTGGGGGTTATGAAGGGGTCAGCCTCTGCTGAAAGGTGGTCTTGTTGCCCAGAATGATCCTAAGAAGGAAATTTTCTGTGGTGGAAAAACCACCTCTAGGTATTGTGATGGAGGCCAGAGGGATCCATATGGAAGGATCCATGGGGTAGACATGTGGTCTTATTGTGCTAAGGAAGCCTGGCATTTGTGCTAAGGAAGCCTGGCATTACTGGGTGTTTCATGACATGCAGTTTCTGTGTGACAAGGCACCCCTCTTTCTTCAGTTGTCATTCCCCTATGATTGCATTTAATTTTGCAAGCTGACAGCTTCCCCCTGACTTTGCCTACCTGCAGACCCAACAGCTCCCAACGTGGTGGTCACCCGGCTCACTCTGGTGTGTGACTCTGCTCCAGGACCCATCACCATGGACCTTACAGGTAGGTTCAGGCTCTGCCCTTGGTCACAGAGGGGAGCACATAAAGGCCCTGGCATGCTCCAAGTTAAAAGAGAGTTTGTCCTTGGGATGCTACAGTGGGTTCTAGAGGAACTCTGAGGTCATCTTAGACTTGTTTCTTATTTTAAAGTATACACATAAGAATAAAAAAGAAGGAGATGTAACAGAGGAAAATACTGAGGGTTTTTTCCTTCATCTAGAGTGCTCTAGGAGCTCCTGGGTTTCTCTTGCCATCTCTGCTTTCTTCGTTTCAATGACACTTCATGAGCACAAGGGATGTGCCTGCATTTGGGTAACAGGCTGTACTGAAACTTCAGAATCGAGCAATACTGCAGTTCCGGCTCCTGGGGGCATGGGGAGAGAGCCTTATATGGGCTTTTCTGCAGAGAGAGGAAGCTGGGCCTGGAGAGGCAGAGATGCTTCCTGCTCACCCAAAACCACGCAGAGCCCTGCAGAGCCCAGGCAGCCTTCCAAGCTGGGCAGGAGCTGTGGAACACACTCCTCTCACCAAGCCAGGCCTGGGCATGGATGGAGAATACACACACTCCTGCATATGCTCTGCAACAAGTCTGTGCATGAACATCTTTGTGCATATGTGCTCAGGCCTGTGTGTGTTAGGCATTACCTTCTGTGGGCACAGGTACGCACGAGCACCCAGGAATTTCTGTGTGTTTGGTCGCACAACACAATCTCACACAGACGTCTGCGTGCTCATTTTTCAGGTGTCATCCTTTGAAGGGATGCTCACCTCTGACAGCAGCCCCATCTCCATCTTCCCCCTTGCGCCTGGTCTCTCCTCGCTGTGACATCTCTAGCTGACAGCTTGTTCTCTTCTTGCAGGTGACCTCGAAGCACTCAAGAAAGAGACCTTCGTATTAAAGGAAGGGGTGGAATACAGAGTTAAGATCCACTTCAGAGTGAGTTGTTTTCCTTCCAGTTGCTTCTTATCCAGTTGTTCAGGCCAGTCAGTGGCAGTCTGTCAGATAACTAGAGCCAGGCAGAATGCCTGCCCAAAAGCTGAACACTTGCAAAGCCCCCTAGCTTCAGGTGTTGTTCTACCCAACAAGGGATGAGGTGTTTCCAGGAAATTACTTCTGCTTGCTCACCCCTTGGAGGAAGTTGCTCACACTGATAATCAAGTGGTTTAAAAGCCAGATGGGTAGTTTTGGCTGAGTTTGGTTTTGCCTTTTAGCCACTGGAAAATCTTTACTTCACACTAAGTGGAAATGAACAGGGAGGAGAAGAGAGAAGAGAAGAGAAGAGAAGAGAAGAGAAGAGAAGAGAAGAGAAGAGAAGAGAAGAGAAGAGAGAGAATGGCTATTCATGAAGTACTGATTCAGTCAGTATTACTGGGCTTCATGTACACATTAAAAAGATGTAATATTGTAGCATTTGGCTGAAGATACTTGAATTCTTCAGGTTGTCATACACCTAAATGGGCTAATTTCTCCCTCACTCCCATTAATCAGCGTGTCAGCCATTTCTTCTGTTTACAGCTGAAAATGAAACTTGGCCACGCTGCAGTGTGGCATCCAGCACTGAACTGATCATCTCTGCAAGTGCTTGCTTCAAAGCTGGGCTTGGAAGAGAAGGCAAAAAGGGAAGAAGGATAATTCTTCTGAGGCAGGTGTTAATACTGTGGGTTCTGTAGGCTTGCTGTCTCAGAGATGAATATCCCCTAATGCTCTCCCCTGAGACACCTCCAGCTCTCTTTTGTGCTGTGAAATATTTCCATCTGTATCTGTGCCTTGTTGACTGGAGATACCTGAAGCCAGACAGGTTATTCTAATTCTCTCCCTCAGTTCTAAGGCTGGTAAGGAATTCTACCTGTGAATTCTACCCTGGGATGTAAAAGGATCTGTCCATCTTGTTTTCAGATTGAGTAGTGTACACTGTGGGAAGGCAGTGTATGCTGGAGGGGAGCAGCACTGGATACATCCAAGCTATCCATGGGAGATTTGAGAAAAGATTATGAAAACTGTCTTTTGAGAAGAAACTTCTCCCCATGGAGCTTAGAGGGCACCTGGAATCTGCCCACTCATTGGGGCTGGAGACATGACTCTAGTTACCCATGGATGGTTTCCAGTATGAAAATTATTAAACGAGAACTCCCTGCTTCACTTTTCTTTATCCTCATCAGTATGTCTTGAGAAGTTTACTGATGTTCTGCAGTCAGCTTCAAAGTTGGGCAAAGGACAGGGAAGTGCAGGAGATGCACAGAGGATGCTAAAGGTCTCCAGGTACCTATGGAGAAGTTGTGTCAGGGACCTGTACAATGTGCCCTGTGCTGAGACTCCCTTGTGTAGGGAGCCAAGATGGGTATGTCCCTAAGGAGGGGGAAAATCATCAGGTACAGAACCAAAACTGTTCTCTTGACACTTCTGGTTACTTCCTGCAGGTAAACAGGGACATTGTGTCGGGACTGAAATATGTGCAGCACACCTACCGGACAGGGGTGAAGGGTGAGTAAGAGCCCTGCATGCCCTGCACAGCACTGCTCCTACCTGTGTGTTCCCTCTTCTGGAACAAGGGCTCCTGCAGCTCTAGATTGGCACAGAGGCTCCCTTGGTCCCAAGTCCCGCCCTATGCTAACACTCAGGAGGTGACTTCTCAGCAGAGTGCATAAGCCTGCTTCACCCAGGACAGCAGTTTCTTGTTTTGTGCACACTCAGTGTGAGCCAGCTCTGTTATCTGTATGCTACACCCCTGTCTGCAGCAGCAAAATCCACAGAGACTCTGCTTGCATGGTGCTTGCCACAGGCTGCCTCTCCATACAGAGCTCTTCTCCTCCCCTCCACCCTCTGTGCAGTGGCTCAGCCTGTGGTGCTTCCCACCCTCTGAAAGCTCTTCAGAAGCTCTGGGTAAAATTCAGACCTGCTCTATGAAACTTCCCTTTGTGTGCAGGGCCCTGTATTTGCCCCTGGGTTCTTCTCAGTGCTGCTCTGCTTGGACAAGGCAGAGGAAAGCCCCATTTAGCACACACACAACCCACGTGCATTTTCATGCAACCACCTCTAAAGCTTCAGCATCCTGTTCAGCACACGTAACTGGTGTCTTCTCACCACCTCTAAGCCTTCAGCATCCTGTTCAGCACACAAAACTGGTGTCTTCTCACCAGTAAAGAGAAGTAGTGGGAAATCAAGGGAGGTCTTGAGCATGTGCTGGTTGTACTCACACCCTTCTAGCAGCCAGAAGGTTTTCTCCCAAATTTGTCTCAAACCAGGACAAGTACATGCATGTGTAGGGCACAAACTGTTGCCTGTTCACTGCCCATCCATCTGTGTTATCCTTCCAGCTGTCCTTATGCTTCACTAACCCACTGATTTTGCTCTTTGCTGGCATGGGCTGTTCCTTTCTCCCCCATCTCCTTTCTGCTCTTTTACTCATGGCTTCCTCTCTCCCTCATCATTCCCCATCTGAGGGTCTTATTCCCTGTGGATTGTTTTCTCCTAGTGGACAAAGCCACGTTCATGGTTGGCAGCTATGGGCCACGGCCAGAGGAGTACGAGTTCCTGACGCCTGTTGAAGAGGCTCCTAAGGGTATGCTGGCTCGAGGCACCTATCACAACAAATCCTTCTTCACGGATGATGACAAGCACGACCATCTCACCTGGGAGTGGAACCTGTCCATCAAGAAGGAATGGACAGAATGAGTTCACCCAGTTTGCCTTCCCCCTTCCCATCCCCCTGCCTCCTGCACCAGTCTCCAGGCCTTTGCTGCTTCTTCTGACACACTGAAAACAACCCAGCAGTTCTCACCACCACCCCGTCATGACACCATAATGGGTTAAATTGGGAAGCATCTCCCTCCCTCTCCCCCAGTACTTCCTCCTGTTGTCCCCATCTCTCCCATACCAACTCCAGTCCTGGAAGTGCCTTTTAGAGGAAACAAGATCACCTGGCAGGGGTGGACTGGTCCCTGGAAAATCCCTATCTTGAGTTACACTTGCCATGTGCTCTGACTCATTGTAAAGGGTTACTTACCTCCCGTGATGGTCTCCTGGTCTGTATCTGGTGCCCTACCCTGTTAAAATCCATCCTTGTGCAGGCAAAGCCAGTCAGGGGGAATGCAGCTAGATGCCGTAACACGACTCCAGTGTCTGAGAATAAAACCAGTTCTTTCTTCTTTTCTGCATAAGTGTCACATTCTTTTCTAGAGCATGTTTCTCAGTGATGTGTGTGTGAAGAATGCAGTATAGGAAGGCTTAAGCATATTTCAGCAGGGAAATAGCCCTCCTCCTTCAAAGCAGCAGCCTTACTCTGCAAAGCAGAGTAAGCAAATTATTTCAGAACAGTTTTCCTTCAGGGATTTCATTAATTCTTTGAAGCCCAAAGTCTGGGCTGTGATGGGGGTAGACTCCAGGGTGGACAGCCCCCACCTCTCATCCCAGATGGCTGCTGAATGAGCCAGGGAGCTGTAGCATACCCTTCTCATGTTCAGCACTTACCGTAGCAGCTGTTCCCCAGAGCTAATGCAAGAGTTGCATGTCCTTGTGGCTAGCCTGCTGGCCAAGCACAAGGGAACATCAGCCTCTGGGATCCAGCACCTGGAGAGGGATGTTCTTAGCCTAGCTGGGGTGTCTGGTCACAAAGGTGCCGGGCAGCTGTGAAGTCCAGTGCTGTGGGTGAGGATGCACCACGGCGTGTTGGTGCAGCTCTCCAAGGCTGATTCCTGCACAGCAGGGAGGGGCTTTCTCCAGCCAGGCAGTTATCTCAGGAGCTGAGGCCTTTGCCCTGGGCCAGCTGCTCCCTTCCCACCGCCCCAGGAAGGTTGTGGGTCCCCACAGCAGCTGACGTGTCTCACCGAGGAGAGGACAGGAGCAGGGTGGCATGGCGAGGAGAAGGCGAGCTGGCACCATGGGCACATCCATCTTCCCGTGCCTCTTTGTTATCCTGCTCACCAGATGCTCCCCAGCAGGCTGTGCTGGAGGGAGTGACTCTGCATCCCACAGTAAGTGAGCTTTCTTCCCGCCTTGGGGAAAGTCTGGGTCTGCTTCAGGGAGTCTTCCTTATCCAAGGTTTGCTGCACAAACGTGTTGAGCTTGCAAGAGAGGTGTGTGGGTGAGCTTGTAAGGTTGGGATGCTTGTGTGTGTATTGGGGGGATCCTCTTTGAGCTGCTCCTTGTGTGCACTCTGCCCACCCTGACCTTTGCTCTGCAGGCACAGCCAGCGCCACAGAGAAACCTGTCCTGTTAAACAGCATCCCAGATGCCGAAGCCTTCATCAGTGGTGCAGAGGTGGCAGTCATTGGATTCTTCCAGGTGTGTTCACAGCACCTTCCCTCTGCCAGTTGTGAGCTCTATCCCACCCTGATGAGAGCATGAGGCTGGATGTGGTGTAAGCACCTGCCAAAGGCAGCTGTTGTCCCAAAAGGTGCTGGGGCTGTGACAGGCATGTGGAGGGATTCGGTGATGGGTCACAGAGAGAGCACAGGGAATTTGGTCTGTGCATGGAAAAAGAGATGGAGTAAGGGAGGAAGATGAAGGAGGCTGTAAGGTTGTAGGAGCCCTGGAGCAGGAGAGAGGGAAATGCTGCAGGGGAAGAAACAAAGAAATGTACATGGTAGAGAAACAGTGTTGGTGAGGGGTGAATGGGAAGGTCAGTTATTTGCTGTAGTCAGCAAAGACAGAGTAAAGCACTGCCTGTGTGATAGGGATGAGGAAGCCAAGTCTCAGGGAGAAGTGATAGTGCAGGTCTGCTGAAGTCCGAGAGGGTTTGGGCTCAGGCTGCAGCCTCTTCGTAGGGAGGATGTAGGCATGGTCTCTGTTTCACTTCTTTGTTCCCCAGAGTAGTAGTAGATACCCTTGAGATCTCTGTCTCTTTTTATCCAAATTCCGCTGAATTCAAAACTGAGTGACAGCTGAGTCCCTTGCCCCCTCCAAATGTCACGAGTATTTTTCCTCAGAAAATAAAAGGAAAATATTTATTGAGCTACAGCACTGTAAAATAGCGGCCTCTTTCACAGGATCCTTATTGCTTTTAAGGTCCCCAAATTGCACCTTTTTCCATGCTTTCGCTGCCTCATGTCAGAGAAGGCTTCAGACTTTCAGAACCAGGTCCTTCTGCAAGCACCTTTGTCCTTCTGCCCTGTGCCTGGGGTTGGAGGGCAGCCTAGGGAGGGCATCGTGCCCTTGGTACAGGGCAGCGGCACCTCCCAGCCCACCAGAGAGTGAGAACCGACGGTGCTGCCTGCGCAGTGCGGGCAGCAACAAGTCTGTGAGCTGTGAGCCTTGTGCCCCAGGGGCCGGGTAAGCACTGATCACAGAGCACCAGCCGCCTCGGCTTCGGTGCCTGCAGGCAATTGGAGCTCCTTGGGGGTTGCTCTTGCAGCGCTGAAGCTGTGCAAAGCAGCCAGGCAATCTGCACACGCAGAATGGAAGTGCCGAGACGCCTCCTTCCCCGAGGGTAGCTGGCTGGGCTTGCGGCAGAGCTGTACCCAGAGCCTCCTCCCGAGCTAAGCAGGGACACGGCTCCTTTTGTCCTGTGCCACAGTGACCTCCCTCTGCAGGACTGCATTCTTCAGAGCCAGACAGCAGGCTGCTGCCGTGCAGCCCCAGCCGCCAGGAGCAGGAGGCAGCAGCCAGCCACATCTCGGGCATTCTGTGCCTGAAGCATGGCCGGGCTGCATTTGAACGGGAGATAAAGACGTGTGTGTGCCATGAAGGCTTGGCTCTCGGCCTGAAAGTAGATTCATCCAAATAAAGCCCATGTTCTCTGCTCACCATAAATTATTTCTCTGCTGCAGCCCTTCAGTTCACTGCAGCATGTGGCTCGGCATGATTCCCGTATAATGAGCACGGCCTCCCTGACTGGGAACAGCATGCCGTGATGGAAACACAGCACACTGCTCCAGCAACCCCGCGTGTCTCTGAGAAAGGGCCATGCTCGGCCTGATTAAACCCCAGGTTTCCCAGGAATGCTCCAAAACTCAGCGAGATTATTCCCACCCTAGGCTTTAGCGCTCTCACCAGAGCAATGTTGATGCGCTGGCATTTCCAAAACAGGTCATGAGAGATGTTTTTCTTTGGAATGAACAAAGAATTTTGTTTTCCCTTCTCTCTGGGCTCACAAACAGCTGAGCTGACAGTTCAAACTAAAAAGAAAAACAAACCAATTTCCAAGCAGAGACCATGTCTTGAGAATTTATATCCAATAAATAGAAGTATCAAAAATACATCACTAAAAAGTTGGGAACGGGAATAGCAAGGAATGCTTTAACACAGGCAAAGGACAGTAGTAGTTAATGCTTTCTGCAAGAAAGAGAATGGACCTCAAAAAGCTGAGAAATTGCACATAACCTGAATTAACTACTTTTTTACAAAATGCACCTAAGATATCCTTTCGAAAGGAGCCACGGTACTGATAATGCAAGGTGTTGAAAATTGTAACCCCCTGACTCTAGCATCAAGGTTAGCATAAAAATGGCGACGTTTATAGATATGTATGTATTTTAGAAACGCACACTTACACATACAGGCTCATAGATAGATATAGATATAGATGATATAGATATAGATATAGATATATAGATATAGATATAGATATAGATATAGATATAGATATAGACGATATAGTTTTTTTAACTAGCTACACCTATGCTCTGATGAGTGCCCAAGGGCTCAGCACCATCCTGGCAGGTTCCAGGATCCCGGAGCAGCCCGCCCGCGCTCCCGAGCGGCCGGCAGGTGTCGCGCTCGTGCCGCCCGGTGCCGGTGCCGGTGCCGGTGCCGGTGCCGGTGCCGGTGCCGGTGCCGGTGCCGGTGCCGGTGCCCGGGCGGTCCCCGGGGCTCCGTTGGGGCTCGGCCGCTGACCGTCCCGCTGTGCCCCGCAGGACCCGCGGAGCCCCGAAGCGGAGCAGTTTCGCCTGGCGGCCGGAGAGATCGCGGAGGTGCCCTTCGGCCTGAGCAGCAGCGCCGCCGTCCTGTCCCGCTACGGCGCCTCGGAGAACACCGTGGCGCTGTTCCGCAGGGTGCGTGGGCCCGCGGCGTGGCGGGGGGATCGCCAGCCGCTCCCTCCCGGGAACACGCTGCAGGGAAAAACCGGCGTCTCCAGAATAAGGGTCTGGTTCCGGGTCCCCCCGCGCGCTGGTGTGGGTGGGAGAGGGTCTTGGACATACAGCAGTACGTCCAAGGTGTATACAGCAGTAAAAAGCATAAAACTCATCTCTCCTTAGGGCAAGACAAAAATAGGGTTGTCATTGGCAGTCAGGCTGCCTGTCCACCTCAAAGTACATCCCTCTTCTTGCCCCAAAAAAGGCTTTTGCTTTTCAACTGCAGAGTGCCTGTCACTGAGATATGGAGCGTTAATTACCTGGTATGATTCTTCTATTTAGGTGTTTGCCCTACGGATCTGGTTCAGTACCCAGAGCTCTGCAAAGAGCAATGCCTGTGTTTCTACATGACCTGCCCACAGCTTGGCATTAACTTGGATGGGGTTTCTGTGGTTTTGGAAAAGGTCCTGAGACACATGAAAAGCGTCTAGAGTCCATGTCACAATGGATCAACACAGCAGGCTTGATACCAAAACTTGGCAAGTGTCACTTCAGGCAGGCAAAGCTGTCTCCTAGGGTACAAAACTTTTCCAATGAGATAGAAAACACATCCAGACACATCTCTGCAGTTAAGAGATGCTGTGCCACCCTACACTGTGGTTTGCAGATTAATTTCCTAAATATGCTTTAGGCATTAGAAATCTTGCTTTGGAGTTTCTTAGGGATGGATGCTGTGCTAGATCATATCCCTGTTGACTCCAGCTCTAAGTGCAGGTAGCTCAATGTAACCTCAATGCAGCTATATTTGCTGAAATTTAAGGAGATGGTACTGGGAAGGGCCATGTGCCTGCTGCAAAAGTACCAAGAAAAGTTAAGAGCAAGTATTCTACTAGTTACATCAATTTCCCCACATTGCTCCTTCTTGCACAAGCATGGCAGTTGAAAACTGCAGAGGTAGGTGTGTCTGAAGGGGAACAGGGCCCCAGACAGCACAAGATGTCCTAAAAGCCATGGAGTGTTGTGACAGCAGACCTCTAAGTGCTCGAGGTGGGGAGAAATGGGCACACACCACATGTTCTAGGGAAACTAAATATGGCAGCTTGGCCAAGTTGTAGATCCAGCTTGTACAAAGATTG